GCGCGCGGTGTGTGTGCGTGTGTGTTGTATGCGTGTGTGTGTGCGTGCGCGTGCGCTTGTGTGTTGTATGCGTGTGCGCGCGGTGTGTGTGCGTGTGTGTTGTATGCGTGTGTGTGTGCGTGCGCGTGCGCTTGTGTGTTGTATGCGTGTGCGCGCGGTGTGTGTGCGTGTGTGTTGTATGCGTGTGTGTGTGCGTGCGCGTGCGCTTGTGTGTTGTATGCGTGTGCGCGCGGTGTGTGTGCGTGTGTGTTGTATGCGTGTGTGTGTGCGTGCGCGTGCGCTTGTGTGTTGTATGCGTGTGTGCGCGTTGAGTGTGCGTGTGTGTTGTATGCGTGTGTGTGGGTGTGCATTGTGTGTGTGTGTGTGTGTGTGTGGGTGTGTGTTGAGTGTGCGTACGTGCGTGTGTTGTATGTGTGTGCGCGCGCGTGTGTGCCTGTTGTGGTGAGAGCGGATTCCGGCTGAGGTAAGACCGCACCACGCGAGAAGGCGATCGAAGAAAGGAAATCGCATTAGAGACGCTTGCAGCCCGTTGAGGCAAGCATCGTGCGCTGCTTCCGGAAATTTCCGGCGATATCCGTTAACTCGTCGACGCAAAAAACGCGGGATCAACTTTTTCTCGCCCTCTCGCTTCACTCACTCGCTTCACTCTTTTGCTCGTTTTCTCTCCGCCTCGATCGCTCCCCCTCTTTACCTGCTTCTCTCTTTCTCTCTCACTTCCTCTTTCTCGGCAATACTTATTGAATAACACCGAATCTTGGTGATTCGCACGAGGAGTGTGTTAATGCTTTCTGCTCTTAAGTGTTCTTTTGCTAGTGCGACCTATACACTTCGCGCCAATAAGTGCGGCCATGGAATGACTCATGCTAGATCATTGCGGCGTAACAACAGGATTAATGCAATGACTGCAAAAGCCATGATGGCTCTCTCTCTCTCTCTCTCACTCTCTTTCCATCGCCCTCTTTCTCTCGCTCTCTCTATATATAGATAAATAAATAGATAGAGAGAGAGAGAGCGCGCGAGAGAGAGAGAGCAAGAGAAAGAACGAGAGCAAGCGAGAGGGATAAAGAGCGAGAGTTAGAGGAGATGGATGGAGGGAGAGAGGGAGAAAGAGAGAAGAAAATCGCAGAATCGTTCAATCGCTTTAAGAGCAAGCGAATCGAACTCGACGGAGGAAAAACTTAATCCGCTCGCTCGTCCGGATACTCGCGGCTCTGAATTATAGATGTGTTCCTGTCGTCGGCGCTACGGCCGCCTCTCCTGCTGCTGCTGCTACCGGTGCTGCTACTGCCTCTGCTGCTACCACTGCTGCTACCGCTGCTGCTACCGCTGCTGCTACTATCGCTGCTGCTGCTACCGCTGCTGCTGCTA